GTATTATTGAACTTTAATTTCGATAATAGGATATCCGGGTACCGTTTTTAAAGATAATTAAAACTAAAGTTTTTTAAAAATATTTAATAATACTTAGAATTAATTTTTTAGATAGGTATAGAGAAAGTAAAACGTATATTCTATATATATTTAAATATTAAATACTTTACCTATAGGTATTAGATATTAAAATCCAGCCCTATTTCTTAAATAACTTTAGTATTTATATACTATTCTAATTAATATTTTAATTAAGTTAGGTAAGTAGGGAAGAATTAGAAATAATATACGTAGATTATTATATATAATTCTCTTAATTAATTATATTAATTTATAAAATTATTTTTCTATAATATTTCTAGATCCTTTCGGGCTTCCCTAAAAATCCCCTTTATCTAATTATATAATCCTTTATTCTCTTTTTTCTACTTCCTACCGTTCGGAAATATTTCTTTTCGTAATTTATTAATTTAATATATTAATAATTGATAGTATAGTATGAAATCTTCTTTTATAAATTCAATAAAATCTCTTTTATTATTAATTATTACTTTCTTTAACTTTATTAATATTATTAAATTATTATAATTCTATTACTTAAATTCTTAAATAATTATATTATTATTATTATTTGGCCCGTTATAGTAAATATAAATTTAGAATAGGACCTCAAAGAATAATTTGAAATTATATATAAAAGAATATTATTCGCCCAAAAGGACCCTAATTACTATAAACGCCCTAGTACCGGTTATACCCTTTATTCCGGAGGTACTTTCTCGTTCCTTTCTAATAGTAAGATTTAGGTTAATTAAAAATAAAAGTTAGGAAGGGTTATTATTATCCTTATTAATTATAAGGTTATTAATAGAAATATTTCTATAAAGGAAGCCGGCCTTTTTTTATAAGGATTTATATCCGTTAATATAACTCTCTAATATAATAAGTAGGGCCGTTTAGGAATTTACCTTATAAATAAATTATTTATAATTGCGAATAATAATTTACTAATATACCTAATTTAGTAACGTATTATTATTAGCTTAGATTATATAAAATTACTTACCGGAAGGTAAAATAGTATTAATTTAACTAAATAACCGTTTCTTACTAATTATATTAATACTATAGCCTTTATACAAGGTATTAATTATAATTATCCTAATTAGTAGTATTGAGTATTTTAGCCTATAATTCTTCGCTATATTAATATTTATTCCTCCCCGAATATTATTTTGGATATTATTATCGGTTCTATATATTTAGATTATTTTATAGTAATAATATCGAATTATATTTACTACTCCTTTATCGGTCGTATTTTGCAATAATTCCCCTTCTTTATTATACTTAGGGTATTACTAAAAATCCTTAATAATTAATAGTATTTATAAATCTCCCTCGGAATAGGCTTTTTAGTAGGTCGTTACCCGGCCGGATATATAATATACGTATAGTATTACTTTATTAATAATAAGCCGCTTTAGTAAGCTATTCCTCTTAATTTAAATAACCCGCTTATCCTCCTCCTTTATAATAGATAGATCGAACCCGAACTCCTCCTCATTTATTTAGAAAAATACGAAGATTATTAATACGAATTCTAAACCTTTCGTATTAATATTAAACTATTTAGATATAATAGCCCCGAATTAATTAAATCCCTATATTTTTGTAAATAATTTATAAATAGTAAATTTTAAAACGAAGTAACGATTATCCTATATATTTTAAGTAGCGAATACTTCCCTCGTATATTTCATATTTAATACTATATTAATTGAACGATTACTCTTTAATTCGCCCGGTATAAGGATATACGATTAATTCTATTAAATATCCTTTCTACTCTTCAAATTATTTATAAAACCGACGTCTAATTTATATTCTATTATTAAATTGAGGATCGGTTTATTAAATTATATTAGTAACCTTCGTTATAGTATTAATATTAAGGTATATTCTTTTATAAATATTACTAATTTCTTACTTAATTCTATAAACTAATTTAGAATATAATCCTAATTCGTATTTATCGGCTACCCGTACTAACTATTATAGAAGAATAGTTCGCTGCCCTTTATATACTTATTAAAAACGGCCTCTAATATTATTTTAAAACCCGTTATCCAATTAAAAAAGATATTATAAAAATTAGGAAAATCAATATATATAGCGCCGAATTTATTTTTAAGGATTATATTTATATATTTATAATATTTAAAGGAATTTGCGAAATTATTTATATTAAAAGACTTTAGAGTTTAAAAAAAGGAAAATACTATTAATTGGAGAGGTAGAGTAACTTTAGTAATAATATAGTATATTTAATACTAAATTTTATTCTTAGGTTTATTAATAAGGATTGTATAGAAAAGTGGTCTAATTTGGTTAAAGTTTAAATTGTCCGAATAGTTGGGAATAAAATTAGAATTAAATTTTAATAATTCACTTCGAAGGGTACTACGGCCTATATTCGAAGATAGACGAAGGGTAATAGGGAGGATTAAAATTATCGATAGGAAATTGTACGTAAAATCCCGCAGATTTAAATAGTAATTAAATAAGTATTTTATTAATATAGGTCTCTTTTACTTACTTTATTATCTTAATTAATTAAATACGTTTTTAATATTATAAGAAATGTTTTTATTTTAATAAGTTAATTCGAAAGAAGTACGGAAGGTATTTAGGCCTATACCGATAGGATATTCTCGGATAATTTCTAATTAAGGTCGGTCCGTTATAATAATAGTAATAATATTCTTAAAACGCAACTATAGAAGGGGCCGAAGGTTGCGTTTTGTAAAATGTCGTATTTTGTAAAATGTTGTATTTCGTAAAATATTGCATCTAGTCTTATTATATAATTAATTGTCAGATTAATAGACGGTTGAGACGTTAGGAATAATAGGTTAAGGAAAATAATTAATTAGCGGTTTAATTAAAGAAAGTAAAATAGGATAATAAATTATATTCGTTAAAAGTAATTGAAAGAAGAGAAGAAGATAAGAATATTAGGGAACCTTATATAGAGTATTTGAAGGCTCTATAATATACGTAATTTAAAAGGTAAGTTATAAATAAAAGAATAATTAATAATTTAAATTTAAAAAGAAGAGTAGGACTTATATTCGGATAAATTAATAGTTATATAAATTATATTACTATATAGTATATACCCTAGACGTTAGATTCGGATTAATAAGTACTTATTAAAATAATTAAACCCGCTTTTGAAATTTCTAAGATTGGGCACCCTCCTATACTATTAAACTATTAACTTTATAAGTATTTAAACCTTATAAAAAAGAGCCCTTAGTTAATAGTACACTTTAAATTATTTAGTAAGTAATAGAATAGGTATTAGAAGGGTAGCCGAAGAATACTAAGCGGAAACCCTATTTCTCTTATTTAATTTATATAGGGTAGGGTAGGTTATTATACTAATTAAATTAACTATACTTTCCTATAAATTATATTAATATTTAGTATTAAATATATTGCGCTTTAACCTCTATCTACTTTATTTATTTTCTGTAAATAAAATCAGGAAGTAGGTTAAACATAGGGTTTGAAGTAGTTAACCTATTTTCTAATTTTATTATAATTTATTATTAGATATATTGGGATTAGCTTTGCGTAAGGCGTATTTAAAATATAATTACTATTAAAAATGAATTATATTTCTATATGTAATAATTAGAACCCTAATCTTTATTCCGGCGAATTAGAATTCCCTTTCTACCGAACGACTTCGTTTTATTAAATAATATTAAACTTTTGGTTATAATAGTCGCCTCCTACCTTTAGAATAGTTTATTTATATTTATCCTATTTAGAATTTATATAATTTTAGCTCTTATATTAATATTCGATTATTACCCCTCTTTATTAATTATT